AGGACCGGGATGTCATGGAGCTGCTGAGGACCCCCTCGGACCTGGAGTCTGGCAAGGGCAGTTGCGACGAGCTGGCCGAGAAAGCGCACCGGAAGGACAGGAGAGTGCTGCGGGGCGAGGACTCCGTGTCCGTCTGCACCACCACCACCACCACCGCGGGAGAGTGCAAGAGCCTCATCAGGAAGGTGGAGCAGGAGGAGATGCTGAGATACCTGGAGACCTGCTACCCAGAGATGCCGGGGAACGTGTTCGCGGGAGACGGCTCCGTGCACAGTGCCTTGGAGAAGACGAGCTCTTCTCCCGCCAGGGACAGCGCCGCTTGCCCTGACGTTGAAGACAACATTTTTGTGGCTCCTAAAGACAGTATCATTGTCTGCTCTTACAAGGACAACAGCCCTTATGACAGATACTGTTGTTACATAAACCCCACTGGAGTCAACTCAGACACGGAGACCATAGTGTGAAAGACGCATACTGTATATATATGTATGTATACAGAAACTGCATCTTCAACTTCTTGATAGGGGATAATATAGCTGACTGCACTGCATGGGACAATCCTGATACTATTACAATTTAACCTGGTATGTGACTGATACTCAAACCTTTTGTGCCTGAAATACTCTTGCTGTAAGTAAACAAGCATGTTTAAAGGTTAAAGAATTCAATTCTTCATTTTGGAAAAAGAGAAATTATATTTAAATTCTGTTCTCTCCCTCCCTTTTGTTTTCCTGCTGCCTCTGGCACCCAAGCCCGTAGACACGCTGGCAGGAGGGCAGCAGTGGCTGTCAGCTGAGATCCAGAGCTGAATCCAAACTCTGGAGCTGTCTGTAGGAAAGCATGTGGTGCTCCGTGGCTGCATGGGTCTTAGCAGTAGTGTCACTTCATTTTGGGAGGGGTTGAGAGATGTCAGCGTGCACTCCAATAGCCGGCTGCTGTTAAGGAGTGTAGAAGTGATTTGTTTCCCTTCTTACTGGCAGGATTTTATTTTCCTCTGTTGCAAGGAATCAATGTGCTGACCCTGTGGGCCCTCCTGAAAGTCTCTGAGGAGCCAGATAGGTTCAGGGGAGATCTCAAAGGCTAATCCATCATCACTAGCATGCAGGGTACAGGTTTTAGCTTTGTTCACTGCTGGTATTGAATTCCCTGGAATGTTTCTAACACTTTTTTTGATTTTATTGGCATACCTGACAAGGAGATTACAACAGGAATCATAGAACCACAGAATGGTTAGGGGTGGAAGGGACCTTAAAGATCATCTAGTTCGAACCCCCCTGCCATGGGCAGGGTCATGACACAGTTCTTGCAGAGACCAGGGGCAAATGCCAGTGGAGTCTTAAAAATAAATTCAAGTACCTCTGAAGTTGCTTAGAGAATAGACTTCTGTGGGTTGCTGGGTCTGACTCTTCCAAAAACGTCATTTTTGTGTGCCTTTTCTGAAATGCCCGATGTTTCTCTGTGGGTGATGAATGGTTACAGTCCGCTCAGGGGTCTCAAAGCCATGCTTTGCTGGGGGCGGGAGCAGAGGACCTGGCTGGCAGATGGTTTTGTTCACAGCCTATGGATACATAGCAGGATAAATACGAAGTGAGTAGTGAGGAGTAACCTTTCAAAATCTGAGCCTGCAGCTTACATACAGAAATGCAAATCCTGGCTGTTCTGTCCAACAGTAAATTGCATGTTCCATGCTTTGAATAAAAACCTTATCTGGCCTCTGCTATGTAGGTGATAGAGACGTGGTATAATAGGATGTGCATGCTAAGCAGCTGCTCTAAGGGTTAAGTTCTTGGGGTAACGCTGACTAAAGCATAGAGTAAATTGCTAGCATCTCACAAAGTTCCAGTTCATATAACTAAACTCAATTCCAACAAGTTCCTCTGTGTTGGGAGGCTTAATAACTGTTGTTACTTAGCTGTTGCTTGTCAGCTGGGCAAATGCATTGAATTACGAGGGTAGGAAGGAAGAAACAGAGCATTTCTTTTCTAGCAGCCTGAGATGTGGTGTAGAAAGTGGCAAGGAATTTTCCACTGAACCGAGCCACCATTCCCTGCCCATGGAATTGGTTGCAAAGTGAATGGAAACTTTATGCATCCACTGTTGGGTTTTTTTGTGTCAAAGCTTACGTCGAATCATTAGAGCCAACCAGTCTCTCAAGAGGTTTGCAGAAGGAGGAAATGGATTTTTTGATGTAAGATCGTTCGGTTTCTTCCAGACCAAACAGAGAAACATTAAGGTTGTGGCCAGGCTTTGGGGGGCATCAGGATGCTATTAGCATGAATTAAGAAAAAACTAGCTAGTTTGTGTCAGGTGAAGCCTCTCAATAGGTGGTTACAGGCAGCTCTGCTGTTCTGACATACAGCAACAGTACTGTGGGAATAAACCAACATATACTCTGCACAGCCCAAGTTTTATCCACTGTGCAAAGGAATTCCCCCAAAACAGACCCTCTCCCAGGCGTGTTTAACTCCCACTTCCACGTAAAAGCACTCTGTGGCTGTCAGGCAGATTGTCTCCTGCAGGCTCAGTCACTGCAGGACCTTATTCTGCAACGTACAGGGCAGGTTTTTGATGGCACTGGGAAGTCGTATTTCATGACCTCTGAAGCCAACAGCTAAAATACCGCTGATGTACATGATGAGGAATAGGGTCTTTCATCACCTTCTGTTCCCAAGGGAAGCAGGTGAGGGTCTCAGCGTGTGCCAGGGGTGCTCAGCATCCCCGAAGATCAGACCCACCGTGACAAAGCAGGCTACCGGGTAGCTGCATACAGCCTTTGCTGGGGTTGTGAGCAATCGCTTGCCTTGCGTAAGAGAGCGAAGCGTCAGCCCGCTGGGAACCTACATTTGTACAGTTCTGCAAATATATATAGGAAGAGGTCAAGTTTTTCCATTTTGTCCAGGATTAGATGTTCTCTGTCAAAAGTTATATTGGGTTTTACAAGGCAAGACAGCAAACTCTAGTGACAACCGGAATGGTAAATCTATGAGTTGAGATGCAGTCACGCAGATCTGAGTCTTGTGCTTTATTCCATTCTTAGTGCAGAAACCAGAGAATGCTTGTACTAAAGCAAAGTTTAATGGGAGTGAAAATTTCCCGCAATACAGAAAGAAATCTAAAAAAAAGTATGCCTAAGACCTGCCATTTCTAGGCAATGTCCCTTCTCTGTTCATTTAGCTGAGGTAAGATTTCATAACGAAATACAAGTTTAAGCAATATTTTGAGGCTAATCCACCATAATCCACTAAAGTTTTTCAGTGAACATGTGGGAATTTGAGAACATCTGGGAATTTGAAGGTAAAGAAATATATTAGTACTGCCTCTGAAATACTTTATGAATTTGACTTCCTTTTCTGCTAGATAAGCAGAAAATTAAATAAATTAATATAGTAATTTTAAAAATACTAATTTGTCCATTTAAAATCGATTTTTTTTTTTTTTAAAGAAAGTGAGCTTTTTTTCATACACCACAGTTTTGCCAGTAAAAATCTACAGCTTATTTGGTCAAAGACAGCATGACAGCAGCTTCAAGCTTTTCATGCAGATACCATGTCCAGGCCAGAGAAGTACTGGGGCTGTGTTTTCATTCAGCTCATGCGGTCTCTCCTGATGACCACTAGAACCTGCAGGACCAGTGCTGCTCTTGGAACAAGCAGGAATAATCACGTTGCTTCCAGGAGGCAGCTTCTAGACCTGGATCTGAATTTGGCTTCAGGCTACCACCACAGCTTGGAGTGTGATTCCAAGTCATGACCTGGAGATGGGAGCTGCTTTCTGCCATTGCTACCTTTAAAACACCTTTAGGTCAAAATCCCTCTTCTCTCCTCAGTGCTGTCCTCCAAACAATGCACATGGAGCTCTGTTTGTGGGATTAACGCCTGGTCTCATGGAAGTCAGTTGTGACATACTGCTTGGTCCCACGGTATGGGGGCAGGGCATATATTAGTGTTTGAAGAAAACTAATGATGTGGACATTCAGAAAAGGTTCCTAAGAGTTGCAAAATTTAACTTTAGAACAGCATTTGTCATAGTGCTACAGTGGCCTTTACCTTTTTTTACAAAATAATGAGATACACAGATCAACTATACACTAGGCAATTTTGTGTTGCTTTGTTTAAATTTCTGTTGTCATAAATAGCATTGTTGCAGTCATTGAAGCTGATCCTTGCAAAGACTTTTTAACAGAAAATTGGGACTTTTAATCAGTGTGTGGTTTGTTCCCCTGGAACACTAAACAGTACCTGGTCCCTTCTGCCTGGAAGCGCAGGAGCGGGAGGTGAGTGTGCTCAGGGTGTGTCCCCCTCATGACCAGTACTGTGCTCCTCATCTGCCGTCTGAGGAAGTGTGGTACTCTCCCACAGGCACCTCCTCCAATCCGACCCAACCCCTCTGCAGTCCTGTCTCCAGTAACTGTTTATAATGGTGTAATTAGCAGAGTAACAGCCACTGTGGCCCCCTCTCAACCATACCAGGCTGTTGGCAGCGTGAGCTCCTGCTATTGGCAGGGTGGGAGATTCTGACCCTGTATCATCAAATCCCAAACACAAGGACAGGCTG